GCCCCCCCCCTCCAAAAAAAGCCGGGCCTACTCGGGCTCTAGTAGTGGCGCCTGCGGCGCGATGGCTCGCGCCTTCGGCGCTTCATGCGGGGAAATTTTCAATCAAAATCTCGTCATCCCCATACGAAATTTCACTCTATGATTCACGCCGGGGGGAGGGCCTAGGAAAAATTTTTTGAGCCGGGGGGAGGGCCTAGGAAAAAAATTTTTGACCTGGGGGGAGGGCCTAGGAAAAATTTTTTTACGCTACCCCCGGACGACCGGCCCCCCCTCCCCGGTAAATATCGTACAGTCCCTAAGGGAGTATTGGGTTACATGCCAAATTACTGGTAGTATCTCGGCAGCTTGTACTGGGTCACCCAGGAAAAGGCAGAAAAGATAGCCCATGTGAAAACTAAAGAACATTGTAATTGTTAAAGACATTACCAACACATTGACTATTTGGCCTTTCACCCAGTCAGATTTTCTGCTATCTGGCACCTAACATTGCACTTGGCCATGGGTTTATAGATACATGTAGTAGTATGTGTATTTTTGTTTGCTGCATTGACTGTTAGCACCTATGAAGTATAAAAAAATAATAGCAATGGTTTATTAACAGATCTTATTATGATGCATACTTTTCAAAGTAAGTGCAAGCAAAATGTGTCTTCTTTGTCTGGTGCAGGTAATGTTTACTGCACCAGTGCAGGTATGCAGTGAAAAATATTTTGAGCCCTGGGGTATTCTGCGAATGATAGATGAGTTTATCCATGGAGTTTGAAAAGTTGTTATCAAAGTTTATTAAATTTTTAGCCATATCCAAACTCGGAAGCAGGACATTTCGGCCCATGGACGCTTCGGCCATGGACATTTTAGGACACTTCGGCCACGTTATTTATTGACAATACTTATCAAATGAATGTACGGTGTACTATATGATATGATGTATGAACACATACCGATTATTCGGAAAATCTGTGGTATAATAAAGTGTATTGGACATCTCCTTTTTGTGATACGTTTCATACTCTTCTCGAACATACTGCAATAAAACCCACCTCAGTTATATTTGAAATACTAAGTTGCTATCTTGTACGAAAATAAAGTATGTCCGTATACTCATCGTCTCTCTGACAATCAGATTTCAAGTCAAAAGGGACCGCGCCCTTTTGTCCGCTCTGCGTACCTTACACGCTCATATGATTTCCAATAGAAATGTAAGAATCATTTGGAAAACTAATGACAAGAAACACGAACTTGTGTATAATGAAACGGATTTTATTCTATCGCCGATGGTACCGTAGGAAACTGATTCTGAAAAAGAAAATAAGAATGAGATATGATTGCATTTGTCAAGAAAATACATTGGTTTTGCCATGTTTGCTTTCGCCTAGCCTGTCTCATTAAATTGCGCTCCTGGCTGCCGGCCGCCCCGAAGTTGATGCATTAACCTCCGGCCGAGAGCTTGTGTAATACAGGCTAGCTTTCGCCTTGCTTGCTTGAGGCCGAAGTGTCCAGAATTGGGACATTCGGCACGTGGCCGAAACGTCCAGCACATGTGGCCGAAACGTCCAGCACATGTGGCCGAAACGTCCAGGCCGAAGTGTCCATGGGCCGAAACGTCCGACATTCCCAAACTCTATTCTTAGTCTTAGCCAGGTTAGAGGTTATAACCTTCTTGCTAGAATTCATCCTACAGTGAGCTAGGTATTGTTCAAGGACATAATGTCCTTGGTATTGTTGGACAAAGACTAGATTTTTAACCTCCTTGTTAGGACCTACTAGCCTCTACCAGGCTCCGCGGATCGCTGGAAAAATAGTAGAAATTGGCCGAAATAAAGGAATAGTATACCAGAGAAGATCCAGCCGGCCATAGAAGCTCCAATTTGCGA